CCCTCACTGTTTCCAGGATGTCTTCGTGGGCCACATGAAACCACTTCGTGGACCGCATCCGGCCCCCGGGCCTTGTGTTTGACATATCTGGTTTAGAATAATGACACCACCCTCACCATCTTCTTCTTTTAGGTGTTTACGCTGGAGTGTTCTTCGCTTTCTTGCTCACTCATGCAAAAAGTAAGCAGTAAGTTTTTTTGTGTCCATATTTTGCAAACATAGAGCGACGCTTCTCAAAGCCGCTGTGTCTTCAGCAGAGTGTTTCCTCCTGGCTGAACTCCCACTGACTCATTTCCCCACCCTGAAACATTAGCAGCCTATACCTTACCTTACGTGCTGGACTTAACTTCTTGCTGTTCTTACTACTCAATAGTATCGTAAATGCTTTTCTTTTCCCCACCCAACAGGTTTTTTTTTTTCAAAAAAAAAATTACTCACAGGAGCATTGACAGGTTTTTCTTTCTTGTTTCTTCTCCTTCCCCTAAAGATTTTTACGGCCAACCGTTTGGAAGATGAAATTACCATTCTAGAAAAGCATCCTGAATTGTTAACCCCCTCCGATTTTCAAGGCAGGAAGGTAAGACCCCCTGAGCATGCAGTTCTGTTGGGCAAGGGAGGTGCTGCTGCCGGTCTTTCCCTCCACCTAAAGCAGGGGTCTTCAAACTTGGCCCTTTTAGGACTTGTGGACTTCAACTCCCAGAATTCCTCAGCCAGCATGGCTGGCTGAGGAATTCTGGGAGTTGAAGTCCACAAGTCCTAAAAGGGCCAAGTTTGAAGACCCTGGGTGTTGATGATGAAAATTGAGTTTCTCTGCGTCTTTCTGTGCCACCTGGGGCTGGTTCAGTTATTCATGTCCTTTTGTTTCCCTTTCCTTGAGATATCCCTTTTAATCGGCGAGCCTTTCTTCTCTACGAGCCTGCTGCCCTGGCACAATTTATATTTCTGGTTTGCCCGGACGGCTTTGGAGAGCCATCTTTCCCGTGACGTGACCGTCCTTCCCCAATCGGCTTCTCTCCACCTGATGACGGTGGAATTCAAGGTAAGGATGAGTTGGGGAGGGGTTGGTTGGTTTCCAGTAATAATATGTTTTCGTTTCACACTTCTTTTGTCTGAGGAATGCGTTATATAAGTCCAGCTGAACATTTTCCTTGATTATCCTGTAGGGTGGGAAAGCAGAGGGTGGTTGGTCAAATTAATATCTATGAACATCTCTCTGTCTCTCTCTCTTTGTCTCTATCTCTCTCTCCTCTCTCTGTCTGTCTGTTTGTCTCTGTCTCTTCTCTCTCTCTCTTCTCTCTCTGTCTCTCTCTTCTCTCTGTTTGTCTCTGTCTCTTCTCTCTCTCTGTCTCTGTTTCTCTTTCTGTGTCTGTTTGTCTCCTCTCTCTCTGTCTCTCTCCTCTCTGTCTCTCTCTTCTCTCTGTCTGTCTGTTTGTCTCTGTCTCTTCTCTCTATCTCTGTCTCTGTTTCTCTTTCTGTGTCTGTCAGTTTGTCTCTCTTTCTGTCTCTCTCTTCTCTCTCTCTGTCTGTTTGTCTCTGTCTCTTCTCTCTGTCTCTGTCTCTGTTTCTCTTTCTGTGTCTGTCTGTCTCTCTTCTCTCTCTGTCTCTTCTCTCTCCATGTCTCTGTCTTCTCTCTGTCTGTCTGTTTGTCTCTCTCTCTCTATCTCTATCTCTGTTTCTCTTTCTGTGTCTGTCTGTCTCTCTTCTCTCTCTGTCTCTTCTCTCTCTCTGTCTCTCTCTTCTCTCTGTCTGTTTGTCTCTGTCTCCTCTCTCTCTCTCTGTTTCTCTTTCTGTGTCTGTCTGTTTGTCTCTCTTCTCTCTCTGTCTCTCTCTTCTCTCTGTCTGTCTGTTTGTCTCTGTCTCTTCTCTCTATCTCTGTCTCTGTTTCTCTTTCTGTGTCTGTCTGTTTGTCTCTCTTCTCTCTCTGTCTCTGTCTGTGTCTCCCTGTGTCTCTTTCTGTCTCTCTCTCTTTGTCTGTCTCTCTGTTTCTCTGTCTGATTGTCTCTGTCTCTCTCTATCTCTATGAAGTTATAGGTAGTTCTTGACTTACGACTACAATTGAGTCCAACATTTCTGTGGCTAAGGAGGGATGAACGATTATCCTGTGAGCCAATTCTTGTGTTTTACTGGAATTTACACTGCTGAGAAAGGCTTCTTCTTTCTTCCTCCATTAGGATTTGTGGCGAATCCGAAGCCCGTGTGGTACCTGTGAAGGTTTTGATATGCGCCTTATGGATGACATGATAAAGGTGAGCTGTCACCTGGTGAAAAGTCCAATGAATCATCGTGTTCATATCTTGTGAGATGTCAGATGCACCGATGATATTACCTAGTTTGGTAATGAAATGTCTGTAAGAAATCCATCAGTGTCAGAGAGTACCAAGGACCCCATCGATATCAGATCTGGCTTTGGTCTACAGTTAAACGCACACAAAAATCTAATAGTGTCTAGTCTAATCATTATTAGCCTAAAAAGTCTAACAATAAGAACAGCAGCACATCTGTGCCTTTAAAAATAGTACTAATCTATTTTTTTTTAAAATACGAAACTTTGCAGCGGGGCCATTGTACAACGATCCCGCGCAAAATCTTTGTCGCAGCAGCCAAAATTAAGCTGAGAAACGGAAGGTTCAACGATGTTACTTAAAATACCGTGTACTCCCACAAGGACCTTTGTGCCACATCCTTTTTGTGATTATAATAAGGGGTTTTGCAAGTTCTCAACCCTCATTGTTGGAGAGCATAGGGCCAATTAACTTAATTGCAAAAATGTGTAGTTATTGGAAAGCACTACTTAGAAATGTCTGGGATGATGGGTTTAATGAGTCACATTAGCAGCTGTGAGCCTGTAGCAAAATCTGCTGTGAAAAGGGCACAAACATGGAGCCCCTCACCAATTAATGAAGACAAATGCTTTCTGGATTCTGGTGAAGCCCTCCGCCTTGAGTCTGTGCACATGCCACAGGTTCGCCGTGTTGCGCGTTAGGTCAAAACTGGTTTGTGCATTTTGTTAAAGTTGCCTTCAGCCAAAACTTAAACAAGCCGCATGATTCCCAGGGGTCTGATGCAGCCGTGATATTTTTTGTCCTCCTGGTTTTAAAGGAGGAGCAGGTAGCTGAATGCCAATCATTAGGAAACAACATTAGTAAAAGACAAGTCTCATTTGAATTAGGGTCAAATCCCCCTGACTTCCTGAATGGGCCAGGGCACTTTCCTTGGCAATAGTCAAAAAAGTCTTTGCCATATCCATTTTCTGGCATGTGGTTTGGCTTTCCTGTGTAGCCTAGCGCTGTGGGATCTCTTAGTGGTCTCTTATCCATGTAGTAACCAGTAAAAACTGCTTAGCTTTTTTACACCAATTCAGGACTCTTGTTTTCCTTTTCTGACCAATTACTGTAGTACTGGGTTCCTCAACCCAGCATGACTGGCTGGGGAATTCTGGGAGTTGAAATCCACGCGGCTTGAAGTGGCCAGGGTTGAGAAATCCTGATCCTGGATCGGGGCCGATGCAGGAGAGATGGAAACTAAACTTATAAGCCACTGGATAATACTGTGGTCTTAAATAAAGGCAAAGTAGAGAGGACTCTTTATGCTTTTGAACAGGGCTGATGTTTTGCATATATTTTATAGGTTGGGAAGGACCATTTTTAATTGCTAGGCCTGCATTTTAAGTAGTGTGTATCTGTTGTTTTATGTGCTGTCATTTCAAAATGGTTGCAAACTAGCAGAGTGTTCAACAGTGGTGGTGCAGGCCATCTGAAGTCTCATATTGTCCAAACTGGATCTAAAGAATCTGGAATGGTTCCCTTAGTGCAGGGGTCTTCAAACTTGGCCCTTTTATGACTTTTGTGGACTTCAGCTCCCAGAATTCCTCAGCCAGCCATGCTGGCTGAGGAATTCTGAGAGTTGAAGTCCACAAAAGTCATAAAAGGGCCAAGTTTGAAGACCTCCTACCTTACTGGCTCCTTAAGAGCAAATTGGGATTTACAGTGAGCAGTCCATAAATTTAGAATCTGAACCCCCAAAAAAATGCTCCTGCATTAAAACTAGTCTCATTATTCTTCTTGTTTTATGAAAAAAAAATAAGTTTCACAGTCTTGCATCGTTAATTGTTCATATTAGCAAGCCACTTAGTAGTCTACTCTTTCAATACTTTGGAATTTCAGAGAGGTGCTTCTTTCTAAACCCGATTTTTCTTGACACGTCCTTTAGAATTCCTTAGACTTCCGAGAATCGAGGGAAGCCGAGCCCCATCCACTTTGGGAATACCCGTGCAGATCCACCTCTGATGCCCTGACAGTTCTGACCTTTGACTTCCAGCAAGCCGTACCAGAACATCCTCTGATGAACGAAGGCATCATAAACCTGTCACGGTCAGTATTCTAGGGTGGGTGGGTGGACTAAACTGCAATATTGAACGTGTTTACAGGACGCTCCAAGACACTGTTTCCAAACTGGGAGGACTTCCACTGATGTGGACTTCAACTCCTAGAGTTTCTCACTCACAGTGGCCTTTGCTGAGAATTCTGGGAGTTGAAGTTAAGCCAGCTAGGACAGTGATGGCGAACCTTTTAGAGACCTAGTGCCCAAAAACTGGCCCCGCCCCTGTTCCACCCCCACTCTGCCTGCCTGCAGGGCCACTCACCGCCTCCAGGGCCCGCCGCAGATCGCCCAGGCAGCCCAGCAGCACCATGGCGGCCACGCCCTCTGCCCGCGCCCCGCAGCATCAACTGTGCGCATTGGGGCGTGAGGGCAGAGTCTTGTCTACGCTGCCTGGCTGCCATGTCCTTGGCTGCGCTGCTCCGCGTGGGCCACGCTCGGGGGGTGACTCTCCTCCACGGGGGCTGCTGGTGAGGAGGGGGTCGCAGGGGGAGGCAAGGCTGGGGCAACNCTTTTCGCTTTAGGCCTCCGCCACCGTGTGCAAAAAAAAAAAAAAAGTCCAATCAATCAATCAATTTCAACTTCTCGCGGGGAAAAAAAAAGATCTCGCAAAGTTGGAATTGATTGATTGAACTTTTTAGTCCCACCCAGTCTGCCGTTACCACCGAAGCCACGCCCACCCGGCACCCAACGATACATAAGTGGGTTTGGGGTTGCAGTTTGGGCACTCGGTCTCTCAAAGGTTCGCCATCGTTGCGTCTAAGTTGTATTACAAGTTATAGCCCTGTCTTTTATTAGCAGTTCGTTACTTGCCTCTGTCATTGAGTCTAGTAACCTTAACCTAACATAGAATAACTGACCTGGGAGAGCTAGTTTTGCAGTGTCATGGCCTAATTAAAACAATCTCTCACATATGAAGTAACATATTGTTCTGAATGAATAATGTATAACCAATCCGGTACCATAGGAATGATTTGATTTATAATGATGTTTATTTCTCCTTTCCAAATACAGCCATCTGTTTGCCTGGCTGAACATTTCTTTCTGAACATATACAGAGTCTGTGGGGTTATCGTTGCACCCAATTATGGTGTTATTGCCGTACCAGCTGTAAAATGTTGGAATGTGCCATAAAAATCAATATTTGTCTGCAGAGTGATCCTTATTTAAACATCAAATGTAATTTTTTTGGGGGAAAATATCCTGTAATTCATGGCGGCAAAACGTTGGGCGTCTGAGATTCCTTTTTTGAGATTCTTTTTCTTAAAATCGAGTGAAGAATTCCCTTTTGGTTGGTCAACCAAACCCCTTTTATCTGGAAATAACCAAGCATTTAATGCAAAGTAGAAGGAGCGGATATGGAGATTCTCAGTCGTCCAGGTCACGGTTGTCCCAAAGGTGCTTTTCCCCAAAAGGCAAGTGGACCTCCTTGATTTTTCTTCTTTGAAAGAGTTTTTGCTTCTCATCCAAGAAGAGAACTGAAGAAGCTTCTTGGATGAGAAGCAAAACGTTTTCAAAGAAAAAAAACCCAAGAAAGAAAATTCATTTGCTTTTTTTTGGAAGAGCACTTTTTTTTTCAAGAGGCCAACTGCACTGTCTTTGTTTTTCCTTGAAGACATTTTGCTTCTCATCCAAGAAGCTTCTTCAGTTCTGACTCAATGAACTTGTTCAATCAAAATTGAAGAAGCTTCTTAGATGAGAAGGAAAATCAAAATCCAGTTGTCTCTTGGAAAAAAATAAAAAAGCACCTTTGGGAAAGTATCCAGCCGGGTTTTGATTTCTTTCACAAAACCAAAAGGAAGAAGGAGAGGAACCACCACTTCCTTTTGAACATTATTCCAGTCCTCATCTTTTGGGAAGGAATGGGCCTAGTAGGATGTAGCAAACTTATAATTCGAACATTGCCAATGCAAAGATCTTGATTTTCTTTTCCCCATGGATCTCAGAATACTGTTCATATTTCAAAAGGAGTTTTGCACACTACACAATGCCTGTGTTGTTCTATCAGTATTCTTCAGGGTTTGCAGGAAATCTATATTTTTGCAGGTGTGCAAAAAGTCACGGAGCTGTTCTGTGGATGGAGTACCACCTGGCGCCTAACGTTTCCATTAGCACAGGACTTGTGCAGGATTCAAATGAAAAGGTTGGTTATGTTCTGTTTCAACTCTGCTGCACAAGACATTGGCGAGGTGGGACAGCCATCGTATTGAATTCACCGTAGACTAAAAAAAAAAGAAAAAAAGACCCATCAATTCTACTCAGTTCCAGTGCCTAATTTTGAGCGTATTTGGAATGAATTCAGTTGTAGTCGTTGCTGAAAATAACGCAGGAGACAGAGTTAATAATTAACGGTGGTGAATCTGCCGTTCCAATTAAATGGACCGCGTGTGATCGGACGGCTCTACAGAGCGTACTGCGCAGCGTGGTTAGGGTGGGCAGGCTCACTAAGGACCTAACAACAGAGATTTAGCTGCAACCTGCAACAGGATTTACTACAGATGTAGATTGGAGTTGATTGAACGTAAAGTTGAATTGGTGCTCACTTGGATTGACTTGCCTGGAGGCTTCACAAGCAGTTCTGGGGTTTAAAGTGAACCATTATGCTATGCATAACAGAGTAAGTTGCAGGAGAATCGTGGCATTTAAAATATAATGCGAAGAAAGGGGAAAGAAAAAAAATCTTAACACTATAGTAACCGACAACTATTGGTTGAGTGATCTTTCATGACAGCACCGAACAAGCTTGACTTATGACTGGTCCTCACATTTATGGCCATTGCAGCATCCCCCACTTTAGAATTTCTAAGGACAGTACTGCTGATCCAAGGTAAAATGTTCTGGATAATTAGAGGATCCACTGGGATCGGTCACTGGGACCAGGAGTTTAATATATGCACATTCCTGCAGCCTTCTCCTGGGACACATGTATTTGCTTTCATTCGTGAATGCTTAGAATTCAAACTGGAAATGACTATTCATCTCTTTGCCCAAGCAAGCAATGTTGGCCTACAGAAGGAAAACGATAGCTATGGATGTTAAAACACCTTCACTTACTTTCCCATCTGATTGTTCCTGTTTCTTTTCTACATAGGACTATTGTCAATGGACCCCTCACTGCAAGCAGGCGGTCTATTTCTTCAGTTCAGCACTTGAACCAGGTTCTCCTGCCAGCGGTCCCTCAGCAGTTGCGTATGCTGTAAGTTTCGATCCAGCGACAGGAGAGGTCAACATGGACTTTAAACCCTTAATTTAACACAGCCTCTTGTTGTGATATCAAAAGCATTTATCTCCCTTTTAGCTTGATCAATAAATACATCCACAGACGGCTCTCATAAGTCTGCATTTTTGAAAGGGTGGGCTCCAGGGGTATTATTGATCTCAAGATGGTTGAGTTGGGTGACTTGATCCCCTTCAGAGTTTTGGATTGCAAGTTCCCAACTCTCAGCCATGCCGGTTGGATTAAATCGGCCGCTCAAGGGCAGTGAGGATTTGATTTAAGGCATATGACACATCGGTCTTATTTGTCTATGGAGATTCTCAATCGACCAGGTCATGATTGTCCCAAAGGTACTTTTCCAAAAGGCAAGCGGGCTTCTTTGGGTTTTTTTCTTTGACAGAGTTTTGCTTCTCATCCAAGAAGAGAACTGAAGAAGCTTCTTGGATGAGAAGCAAAACGTTTTCAAAGAAAAAAGCCAAGAAAGTCCCTTTGCTTTTTGGAAGAGATGTACGAACGTAACAAGGAAAAGAAGACTCACTGCAAGCAGAGAGCTGGTGGGGTAGTTGAAATGTAGGAAGGAGACCAAGGTATGCAACGCTTCCTCGGAGCTGCATGTGGCGGAAAGAGCCGATATAGGACGACAGGTTATTTTTCCAAAATCGCTCCCTTCTTTCTGCTTCTCCCAAGCATCTTGAGAAATCTCTAGTGCCAACTAGGCCAGGACTGGAACCGCACACGACAGCGGCGAAAAGACGAGTGTTGAGCTCAAAAATCCACAAGGGGGTACTGACGTTTTTTTCTTCCTTGGCATTTGAGCAATATTGTGATGGCTGATGATCCAAAGGGAATAAAAGACTGGGGAATGGCCAAGAGCCAGTTTGGGGCAACTTGCTGCATAGAATAAGCACATAGTTTTGGCCTGTCTGCCAATAACAAATGCACTTTTTGAACATCTTCCCGCGTTCCCAAGGGGCCTTGCAGAATTACAGGCTCAGCAGATGTTGCAGAAGTAACGGTTTCCTTTAGACATTTTACTCGTTACAGGTCCCATCTTGAAACAAAAAATAACTTGCCAATTTATGAAGACTGAACCAGGCAGACTTTCCAAAACTGCACCTGCCCGCATTGATCATTGCTTCCAAAAGATACGGTACGAACGCCTTGGTCAGTTCAATATATGCAAACTGCCAAGTGTCAATATCCCCAGTGCGTTTCTGCTTGAGCTTTTATTGAATGACATACTTTTGGCCCTTGTTTGAGGGAGATTGGATTGCTGCTGGCAAGCTGGCATCCCTGCAGCTGGGGAACATTCATTGGAGGGGGATGGAAGCCATTAATTCCATAGCAGAGACGCCTGATGAAATGACCTGACAAAATCCAATGCAAAATTAAAATTCCACCTATCACGTAGGTACATCTTGATGGCATCACGTTGTTAGTCTCCGTCTGAAGGAGGAGGTGGAAATCTTTAGTGCCTCAAAACTAGAAAGCTGGTCCTATTTTTTTTTTTTTACTTCCAGACAGTTTTGGGGATAGTCTTCCCAGCAGGTCAAATCCTTAGGAGTGACTGTTTAAAAACACCTTGTTCCTGAATGACAAAACAAATGGGATGAGATTTCGGAAGGCTACAATCCAATACTCGCTTTAAAGAGTACACCGTGTTGAACTCCTTAGGACATACCGAGCAAAGATAGCTAAGATTGCATGTCGGGCTCCATACATCAAAACCAATACTTTGAAATAAAATGTGTTTCCAAGAAATTGGTAAACGTCTTGCGCTGCCTTGCTAAACAGTTTCCAGGCCAATGTTCCCATGAGTCATGAGCACTAGGTAAAATGGAATAGAATTGTGCCGTTGTCTTTTCCCATTGTTTTGAAACAGCAGGAGATGTTGACCAGACTAGTCACAAATGTATGACCTTGTCCCTTAGCTAGACATGCACTTATCTTCCAGATTCCTGCAACAAATTCTAGCTAAGGTTTAACATGTATATCTGTGCTGGAAATCAAATTCCATTTCAATGGAACAGAAAAGAGTGCTTAAGACATCTGTAGTAGCTATTTTAATGAAAAGGGGCTTCAGCAGATACTGTAGCAGGATATGGGTGATCTTTTTCTGGGTTTAGAAGCTGGGAAGACCTGGTCTTGGATAGCAGTTGGGTAAAAGACCATTGGGAAAACCCAGAAATAGAATAGAATTATTTGGCTCATTCCATTTCAAGTTCTATTTTTTTCTAATTACAGCATACACCCTCTTCCTGTTCCCTTCTAATATTGCCCTGGGCACTCATTTGGAGCCAATCTATGGTGTATACTCAATAGCATCTCTGTGTGTGTGTGTGTGTGTCATGTGGCATCAAACTGGAGCCTTGACTCTTGTGTATAGCAGTCAACTTCATCGGAACATACAAAAAGGACGATGCTTGTGGCCCCATTCCTGTAAGGAATTCCACCATTCCTTACCAGACGCTGTTATTAATTGTTCCCCTCTCTGTTTTAGTTGAATGTTTTAATTTTTATTCTGGTCTGTGACCATAATAAAAGATGGAACTGAATTCGAATCTTCACACGCGATCCATTTTAAAAGGGCTTCCATCCCGCCTTTGCGATTTTCATGGGTGTCCCTGTTTGCACCCCATCAGGAATGCACAGTAATATTTCCTGCCCAGCGTCTAACAATTACGCAAGAACCGTAATTGTGAATATACAGTAACTGAAAGAAACTTTTAAGAGGCTGGTGCCCCGTGTGAGCTCATTAAAAGTAGAGTAGAATTTATTTTATTTTATTTATTTTATTTTCTTGGTTCAATTAGCCAGAGTTGTATTGATTTCTCCCTCGTTTTAAAAAATCGGGGTTGAGGATGGTGGGCCAACCTAATTCCAGGCCTTGGTATCCGCGCCCTGTGGAAAAAAATACAGGAATAGGGAGAGAATTTTAAAATGGGATCGCCGGTTTGGGCGGCCGTTTTCCCATTGATCAAAACGGTCTGCCTGCCAGCTTGCGGGAGGTTCGATTAATCTCAAACTGTCTCGGTCGCTTGCAGCTCTTCTGAATCTATACTAACTTGTTCAAGGATCGGTCGGTAAACCACAGAGCAGCCAGACTTTCATCTATAAAGAAAGAAATGTCCTCTTAATGAGATTTTGCTGCAACAATTAGCCTCAAAAGAGGGGTGAAGCACCTGTCTTAGAAGGTCCCGGTGGACTTCTGACGCTGGCGGTGCGATTGATCCTGATTCATTCCAGCATAAGTTAGATAAATCCGCCTCAGTGGGATGCATCTCCAAAAAGAGGGTCATTAAATCATTCCTCTGCCTTTTTTTTATTTCATTGACCTGAACCTTTGAATCATCGGTGGTGGCCTCAAGAGCAGGACTGGGCAACTATGGCAACCTTGCGACCTGTGGACTTCGCGTCCCAGAATTCCTGAGCTGACCATGTTGGTCTATCGAGAATATAGGATGATAAGGGTGGAAGGGACCTTGGAGATCTTCTAGTCCAACCTCCTGCTCAAGAAGAAGACCCTATACTATTCCAGTCATATCTTTTCTTTAAAAAACTCCAGTGAGGGAGCACCCACAACCTCCAGAAGCAAGCCATTCCACTGATTAATTATTCTCACAGTCAGAAAATCTCTCCTTGAAATACCAGCTTGTAAATCTAGGATGGCCTTCTCAAGCTGATGTATGATAGATTTGAAGTGGGAATAAGCTTTTTGGTTTTTAAAAACTATCATAGCTATGTGTTCCAGTATTTGAGGGGCTGCCCCAAGGAAGAGGGGGTCACGTTATTCTCCAAAGCACCAGAGGGCAGGACGAGAAACAATGGTTAGAAACTGATCAAAGAGAGAAGCAACCTGGAATTAAGGAGAAGCTTCCTGACAGTGAGGACAATTAACCAGTGGAACAGCTTGCCACCAGAAATCGTGGGCGCTCCATCGCTGGAAGTTTTAATCTTTGTTTCTGATGGTTAGCTTATGCTAGTTTTCATTTTGTATGTTTTGTAAAAGTAATAAAATCATTAATATGGCCAAATTCCTTGTTTCTTCCTGTTACTGGAAGATCTGCAAGTTGCATTCATTTCAATACACGCAAAGAAATGGATGAAACATTTTTTTTTCATTTGGCTTTCTTTAATATAGATATAATAATAATATAATATAATATATTAATAATAACCAAAATGCCAGAAGGTTTGTATGTGCTTACCATATAAAAACATTAATTTTTCAGAAGGATACAATACAGAAAAAAAATCATTGAAATTAAAAAAAAAAGTTTTTTAGGCTTTCTAAACCTGTTAATACAATAGTTTAAAAGACAAAGATTTATAGTTAAAATATGTGCAGGTTATGGATGGAGGAATATGACCACTTCTGTAATACCAGTTTTTATTTTATCTGTGTTATCAATGAGAATAGTAAATGTGGGCATTGTATATTACATGCTTGAAGTCTACAGAATCTCCCTCCCTCCCTGAATGGAAACCAGTTGTATCTTCAAACTTTAAACTGGACGGAGATGGATCATCTTTCTTGGAATGAATGCCAGGCTTAGCCCAGATCAACATGGCCCAACCAACCATAGTTTGAAGAACAGGTTTCAAGCCACGACAGAGATTGAGTTGATCTGGCATCATCTGTTTCCTAATGAAGAGGGGCAGATCAAGAGGATAGAAAGTTGCCTTGTCTAATGAAAATAAATTGTGTATCTCTAAGGTAGCTGAAGAGAAAGAGAAGGAGGAGTCGAGCTTAGGAGAGCATCTAAAAGTGGTAGAATTGTCAAACAAAGATAATCTCTGAATTCTGCCTTCTTCAGAATTCCTCTATCTCATTAGGCTTTCTCCCCCCCCCCCCAACAATAGTTAGTCAGATGATCTGGGTAACGTTCGGGCATAACATAGTCACCCTCTCCAAACTGGCCTGCTCTGGCATGTGGGCTACCTGAAGAAGGATGATGTATGAAGGGATTGCAGCCAGTCATTGCTAGTCTAGGTAATCTCTGAGGATTTCTCGAGCTAATAATCGTTCAGGTTTTTTATATTGCATATACTTTTAGTCGGAGTTCTCTGGGCTTAGTACCAAAGTAGAGGTCACATTTTTTTCTTGGGG